AACTACAGTGGGGCCTGGCCGCCTCCGCCTCTACCGAGTTCTTCGCCTTCAGCTTCGATGGCTCGATTCGCCGCGTCGCCCCGCCCCCCGCGATCGCCCGCCGGCCCCCATCTACCAACATCCAGGCGTTGGGGCAGACAGGAGAGGAGCCGTACCTTCGTTGGCCGCAGTATCTCTCCTTTTCTCTCACTCTGCGTGTTGCGTGTCTTGTGTGTGTGCCTGCCTCCTCGACGCCGCCCCCCAGTAGCTCTCTCGCTTCCACTATCGTAGTACCATAGGCAGCTCTAGCGACCAGAGACAGGTCTGCCCGCAGCGTCGAGGCATCGAGGACGGGGGAGCAGAGTAGGGAAGGCGGGGATGGGGGTCGGAGGAGGATGGGAGGAGGAGGAGGAGGAGGAGGAGGAGGAGGAGGAGGAGGAGGAGGAGGAGGGGGAAAGGGCAACGAGTAGGAGGGGGAAAAAGTGTGATGAGGAAGAGGAGAAGATCTGGAGGCGAGCAAGTGGAACCGGCAGACCGTCCACATTGCCTTGGTAGGCGACTTGAAGAACGGCCGCACGGCCCACTCGAAGGTCGACGGTTTGCTGTGCTTCAAGAACATCCGGGTCGATCTCATAGCACCTGAGCCGTTCGGTCTTCCCATCGAGTACGTGAAGCGCATGGAGTCAAAGAATTTTGAGGTGCGAACGTACCGTTCGACCGAGGAGTACATGAACAGGGAGACTCGCAGCACCCTCGCGACGCTGTGGTACTTCTTCCGGCCACAGGTTCACAAGCGTGGCACCCTCGACGACGTGGCAAGCCTTGCGCTGAGGGGTCAGATTTCCTTCAGGCCAGAGTGGAGGCAGAAACTCTCAGAGAACACTCGTTTTTTTCAGACACTGCCTCGAGACAAGGAACACCCACTCATCCCTCTTTCTTTCGACCAGACGCCGCTGAACGGCTGGGATGGCGTTTCCAGTAACGCGTACTTCCTCCACGTCGTTATGTTGTCCATGCTCCTTGGCAAGATTGGGCATTCGACGGACTGCGCCAACGCGGCTGAGAAGTTAGCGTGCAGCACAGAGGACTTGGGGGAGGAAGCTTAAGTCCAGTACTTTATGCTGTAGCACCCCGCAGTTGCGGATAAGAGTGAGTGGGTGCGTCGCGGGTGGGTCGCAGGTGGGTCGCGGTTGGATCGCGGGTGGGTCGCGGGTGGGTCGCGGGTGGATCGCGGGTGGGTCGCGGGTGGGTCGCGGGTGGGTTGCGGGTGGGTCGCGGGTGGGTCGCGGGTGGGTCGCGGGCGGGTCGCGCGGTGGGTCGCGGGTGGGTCGCGAGCGGGACGCGGGGTGGGTCGCAGATGGATCGCGGGTGGGTCGCGGTTGGGTCGGTTGGTCGCGGGTGGGTCGCGGGCGGGACGACGACAAGAACAACGCTAAGAACAACACCACTACCACCACCAACACCAACAACAACAACAACACCAACACAATAACACAAACACAAACAACAGCAAACACAACAATAGCACCGACAACAACAGCATCAACAACAACAATCATTTTAATATTGTTCGCGTTCTTATCTGCTCGCGTGTCATCAATATGCATATCCCAAACCCTGGATACCCGCCATCTTCGTCTTCGATCGTACCCCATTTTGGGGGGTATATTCATTCCCTGTCACGTCGGGTTGGTGAAGCCCTTGAGAACGAAACGAAGGGCATTCTTCTATGGGGCCACAAAGGGCGACAGCGGGGCCACTGAGGGCAGCAAAGGGGCCACGAAGGGCAGCGAGAGGGCCACGAAGGGCGACAGCGTGTCTACGAAGAGCATGCGTATGGGGCCACGACGGGCGGCTGCGAGCGGGGGCCACGAAGGGCATATGATGCGGGGCCACAATGGGCAGCGACGGGGCCACTGAGGGCAGCAACAGGGCCACGAAGGGCAGCGAGCGAAGGCGACCGCGGAACCAGTACGGGCAGCGAGGGGCATCGAAGGCAGCGAAGGGCAGCGAGCGGCCACTGCAGTCCCTAACGGGCTGGTCGAGCGGGCAGGCCCAGGCGGGCGGGTCGAGCGGGCGGGTCGTTGAAGCGTCAATTCTGTTTGAACCGCCAGGCAATATGTAGCGGGAGCGCCATTCCTGAGTGTCGAGGAGCGGCATCTGAATAAATTGTGAGGAAGTATCAGGCGGGAGCCGCGATTCGGTGGTAAGTTGCGAGAAAGTCCCAAGCGAGAGCGCGATTCTTCAATAAATTGTGAGGAAGTATCAAGCGGGAGTTGCGATCCGGTGGTAAATTGCAAGGAATCTTTAAGCGAGAGCACGATTCTTCAATAAATTGTGATGAAGTATCAGGCGGGAGCCGCTGTTGTTGTAAACCGGGGGCCAACAACACAGTTTGACGTTCAAGACTTTTTCTGATAAAGAACAGGGTGCAAGCCCCGGGAAGGGCACTTCAATCGAAAAAAACAATGTGCACTGGACGGGGGGGATGAACAATAATTATTCTCCAGAAATGAGAGTTCAACAGCAAACAACCAAACAAACAAACAAGCAAGCAACAACAACAACACCACCTCCACCAACACCAACAACAGCAGCAACAACAACAACAACAGTTCCAATCATTATAAGACTGTTCGCTCTTATCTGCCCGCGTGCCATTCTATTTCGTGCAGCCCCTGAGGCAGGGGAAGAGAGGACGGATGGAAGAAAGGGACAAAGGGGAGGGAGGACGATGGAACACGAGAAGGAGAGTAGCATGAGGGGGGCTAGGAGCAAAAAGCACGTGGCAGAACTAGACGGGCCGATCGGGCGAGTAGACCCTATCAGGCGGGTCGGGAAGGAGGGCCCAGGCGGCCAGGTCGAGCACGCTGGTTGCTGAAGCGTGCGTCCTGCATGAATCGCGAGGAAGTCTCGAGCGGCAGCTCGATTTCCCAATCAATCGTGAGGAAATCCACAGCGAGAGCGTGATTCCTGAATGTCGAGGGCGCGGCGTCTGAATAAATTGCGAGGGACTCCCACGCGAGAGCGCGATTTCTGCATACATTGTGAGGAAGTTCCGAGCGAGATTGAGATTTGAGAATACATTGTGAGGAGGTATCAGGAGGAAGCCGCTGTTGTTGTAAACCCGAGGCCTACAACGATTCAATATTTCCTAGGTAACAGGGTGCGATCCCCGGGAAGGGCACTTGAATTGAAAAAGCACAAATGTGACCCGGAGGGGGGGTCAACAATACGTTTTCTTCAGATATGAGAGATCAACAACAACGACAACAACAACAATAACAGCAGCAACAACAACAATACCAACAGCAACAACCCGTACCGCGGAAGCCCACTTCAGCCACGCACCCAGGGACAGTGAATGACCGTTCGGCCCCCTCACTCTAAACTTATTCCCTCTTTTTCGCTTTCTGCTGTTGCTTCTTTTTCTTTCCTGAATCCTCCCGTGTCTCATCTGCCTCCTTTGCCTCCCTCCCCTTGTCGTTCTGCTTACGCTGCATTTATCCATATTCCTTCGCCCCTCTTCCCCACCTCCTCTTTCTCAAACGCCCAGCAACGCAGGTACCCGGTGTTTCTGCAACCACCCTAAACTATGAATTCGGGTTTGGTGAACGACCCTGCAGGGCACGTCAACACGACACGCAGCGATTGAACACGCATGCGGAGGGGTGTTGCCGTGTATGTTGGTCCTCGTATGTCTAAAGACGGTTCTTATTTCAGGAGTCGTGGCTGAGGCTGACCAGCGGGCAGTCCTTCTCGCTGACCCAGCCGATGCAGCACGGATTGCCCGAGTTCATCGAATGCATCGACGTGACTTCCAAGGCTCGCTCGTTTTCCTTAAGGGTCTTGCGCGTACTGCAGCCAAGGGTACTGGCTAGATGCAACCCGCCTGGGAGATGCCCCCCACCCCGATGATTTTCTCACGCCATACATCTAGGATCGCGCTCGGTTTTTTTATGTTGGTACGAAGATGCGCTCCCCCTTCCTTGCCCTCAAGGCCCTTGCCGTCTCCTCCTCACCCCCTCCTCACATGTCATGGTTGCCCTGATGCGGCGAATTGGAGCTAATACTCTTTGCCTTTTCCCACCTGCTTGCTTCTCCCTGCGCCCTCCTCCCTTATCGTCCCTTTTTTTCATCCCACCTCTCACCCCTTCCTGCTCCTCCAGTGCTCCCTCCTCCTCCTCACCCTCCTCCTCCTCCTCCTCCTCCTCCTCCTCCTCCTCCTCCCCGTCGTCGTCGTCGTCGTCGTCGTCGTCGTCGTCGTCCTTTTTCTACTTTTTGTTCCAGCGTCTCCTCATCCTATTATTGCCTCTTCTTCGTTTCTCAAGTATCCAGTTGTTCTTGTTCCTCCTGTTTCTCTTGTTATTGCTGCTGCCATTCCTCATCCTCTGGAGCCTTTTCGTTGAGTTCGTCTGTCCTCGTTTTCCTCCCTCTCCTTCTCTCGCACTCGAACACTATGCCTCGTTGTCATCAGGGCTCGCAGTTCTGGTGCGCACGGATCTTATATGGTAAGAAAAGGTCCCGCATTGCCACCATGTTTGTTGCCTACCGCCAAATAGCCCCCGCAATTCTTAGGTGGCAGCGGAGTTGGGAGCGATCCGAGCTCGCGATCCACGGAAGATGCGCAGAGTGCGATGTGGGCGCACGTTCGGATTTATTTCACCCTCCGCATTGGTACCACACCCAGTCCCTGAACAGCTTGTGGTTTTGGCTGTTATGCACACCTCACGGTGCCTCGCCCAATTTACCCACATGCGTGATGAGACCGCGGCTTGCGACCGCAAGTTTGTGTGTCTGGTGTACCGTTTTTGGGAACACAGATGGCTTGGCCGAGCGGTAAGAAGACCCAAGGAGGCAGCCGTGCTTCCGCCCCTTCACCATCGCAACTTTGTGGCCCTGGCAATTGGGCGTCATCGCTATACCGCACAATTGGGCCAGCGATTGGGTTCTGATTGAACGTCGTGGTGCTGGCTTACATCTTAGTCAGCACGCTGAGCCCTCCGAGTGGCTTCAATTTTGTTTAATGATATTGTTTCACTGACATCGCGCATCGTCGGGGGCCCAGCACTACTACGACTGCTCCAAGTGGCAAGACTGGTCTCGGCCCTGGACAGGAACGAGCCCCAAGGCGCCTGACAAGGAATCATGCGCTGAAAAATTTGTCCGCTCGGGATGTATCCGATTTGGCACTGCTGAGCAGTACCCTCATCCCCTCCGTGGTCGCCTTGTTCCGGCTCGTCCGCATGATGCCTGAGGCCGAGCGAGGCGGATGCTGTGGCAGGGGCGGCATCGCATCCCGCTGGCCACCTTCTCGGTCACCCGAAAGGAAACAGTCTACCCGTTTGTCCACTGGGTGCAGGACTTACTCGCTTGGAGCGCATGCGGAACCGACCTGGGCAGCGCCTAGCAGCGCGCTGCCATCATCTATAACATCGGCGGCGCCGCTCGCGAGCTTATGCGTTCCATGAACTTCACGGAAATGACAGAAGGAGGATTGGCCAACGGACAACCAAAAGACGCCGTCACCTACCTCATCGCGAACCTCGCGACCCAGTTTGGACCACTTGGTGAAGAGTCATTCCCACAAGCTACCATGGACCCCTTCGAATTTTCGAGGCGGCGCAACGAGACCATCGATGCCCTGCTCGTGCGGTTTTCGCATTGTGTTTCCGAGCAATACACGACGGTGGAGCTGTGATGTCATGGGAAGGCTACAGTTGGTTGCTCCTCCGAGCGGTCGGCGCAACCGCCAGCCAATGCACGACACTGCTCCAGCCCTACGTCAACCGATGTCCTGCAACAGAGCCTGAGTTCAACAGTCTCTCGACAATGCGCAGGCGCGTTGGTCGCAACGTGGAGCATGCGCCCAACACCATCGCCAGCGCCTTCCGTGCGCCGCCATCCTCGGAGGCTTCGCAGGCAGACCAACGACGACAGTCACGTTGCAAGCGCAGCACGCACTGGGCACTCGCAAGGCCTTGGCCCTCGGGCTGCTAGCGCTGCTGAACTCCCAGGTTCTGGAGGTGGCCGCCCGTGCGTCGGTGGCTCTGAGCAGAGCGCCGCGTCGCCGCGGGCCGCAGATCCCGCCTCCGCGCAGCCGCGA